CTACTTAATCTCACACTCCCTCTCACCACTAGCCCCTTAGTGCCATAAACATGCACACATACAGTAAGAGTAGCCTGTTCTTTTTTCTAGCGATACAGTATTTTAAATTTGATCACAATCATTTCGCATCACATTCTTGATGATGCCTGTTTTGATGCCTGTTGATTCTTGTTTAGACAGCAGGCACAAAGGCAGTCTACCTTCAACATGTGGTATATTCAGCTATCTTACTCTGTATCAGAGCTTGATCATGAATCAGGCTGCAGATCATTTCCTGTTCAAATCTGTCTGTCATGCCTAGCTGTTGGCTCACTCTCTTTATCTCCTCATCTGTATTCCACACAGAGAATGCAGTCAGATAAAAGAAAGGGAAAAACTCATCCCTCCCATACACTTTTCTCTCTCCTCGAATGCAGTGAGCGGGGCAAGAGAGAATGAGCAAATGAAAATGATAGAGAGGGAGAGAGGGATGGTAACAGGGAAGGAAAGGAGGAGGAGGAAGAAGAAGATTCTGTGCTGCCAAACGTGGCTGTAATGAGCATTCTGTCAAAAGAGAGCTGGGGAGGAGGAGTGTGTGTGTGCGTTGCCCGTGGGGGTGTGTGTCAGAGTGAGACAGAGGTTTGGAAAGAGGGGGGGGTTATTAGTGAAACCCTTTTCTCGACCCCGCGTCGTTCCCTCCACTGTCTCTGTGCTCTTCATGCCTACAAGATTTGTGAGAAGGCAAACTCACACTCACACACAGCAGCAGCTCCAAATCCACCCACTCTCTCTCTCTCTCTCTCACACACACATACACACACACAGCAGAGACAGATACTATGAACCCATGTCTAACCAGAAACTTTGAATATATGTGTGTGTTTTTCTTTAATGTTGTGTCACGGAGGAGGAGGAAGAAGCATGTGTGTAACGGAGCATGTTCTCCCTCACTGACATGTGTTCCTTAGCCAGTGGAGCCAATTAAATGGCTCCACCAAGACTGACTTACCTGAGATGACATGACGAGATCATTCCCATGAATTCATTACATTCACAGAGCCTCTGTGGCGGAAGATGCCTAGACAGGCTGTCCTTTTGCAAAGTCATATGCCATCTCTTCTCATCTGCTGTAACTTCAACAGTGACTCACACAAAACTATGCCAAAGTCATATGCTAAATGTAATTAATGTGCAATGCCAGCTGTATGTGTGTACAAGCGTGGGCAACCATTTGTGTTTGTACGCATGTGTTTGAGGGTGTCGTCAGTGTTAGTGTGAGTGAGTGCATATGTTTGCATGAGTTAAAATCATTGCAGCTGGAATTTTCAGTGCAGATGACAAGTATTATATGATATATGTTTCTGTATTTATGTGTAAAGGCCAGGGCCGTGTCCTAATGTCATGTATAGTGCACATACATAGTGAAAATGAAGCAGGATTTATTTAAATGTTTACGTCAAATTTATGTGTTTACTTAAAATTCACCGACCTGCCTGTGCGTCAGTCCGTGCAGTGATTGCCAACACTGCTTTCCAGGAAGTCCTAGATACATAAAACACAATTCACCCCAGGTAAAACAACACTTGGAAGCCTGTAGACTACTTTGTTTCCATGTAGGCAAGTCTTACTGGTTACAGTGGCATCATAAGAGAGCTGAGCTTAAACACAGCATTCTTGGCTGCAGACAAACCTTGCTCAAACCTAGAGAGCTCAATAGTGTAGATCCCAGCTAAAGTTTCAAAATATACTAAATATGTGCGGTTGAACTATTGAAGGAACGTGCAGCAAAGGGACTATAGGATATTTGTATTTGATGGTAAAGTTCAGGCATTGAAAACATTTGGGGACTAAGTATTTTAGAAAACTTCAATGAAAAGTTGACGCAAGCTAACCGAATTAAAGGGAAATAAGGGCCAAACTGTATGTTAAGGGGGTTACAAAGTGATGTTTGTGCACAACATGAAGTAATGGAATACAGTTTTGTTCTTTCATTAATGTCTTTAATAAAACTTCCATTAAATGCAGTCAGGAGCTTCCTCTGTTCCAGTCTTTCACATTCTGCCTTAGACTTTTAGTTTGAAACTCTTTATTCTCATTTTGGCTCCTTGAGCTGATAACATCTTTTTTTTTTTTTTATTCTACCCCTGTCATTCCCTTATGTCTTTCTATGAATTATACATTAAAAGCATTTGAAATTATTATAGTCCAAAAATCTAGCACGAGCAAATATGCATCACACAAGCCTCTGCCCTCAGTTTTTCTTTCTTTGTGAATTCTGTCTGTCTATCCTACTCGCCCTCTTTAATTTCTGTTTCTGTCACTACTTGAGATCCCATTTCAGTCATCTCATTTTCCTCTCCCTGTTATTTTCATCCTCCCTTTATTTGTTACCCATATTTCAACCCCTGCATTTTTATTCTGCTCCATTCTTAATGATAGTGTCCCACTCTCTGCTGATTGTATTCCCCTATCTGTCCTCCTCCACTTCAGTCATTTCTAAAAGTCATCTCCCCCCACCGGGGCACTGGGGGGAAATAGACGGAAAGAAAAAGGGAGAGAGAGAGAAAATGAGACGGGGGCAGGAGTGATCCAGATATGACTGAGCTGGAGAAACCCCCTGGTGTCAGAAATTCACCTGCAAAGGCTCCTCGCTTCCCCCGCTTTTCTCATCTGTATTCACGGTCTCTCCTCCTGCATCATGCCTCCTCACCTCTCTTCCTCTTCCCCTTTATCCTTCCCTTTCTCACTACCTTGCTGCCTTTCCCTCTCTTCCTCTCTGTGTCTCTTGTCATCCTGCATTGCTCCACCTGCACTGTGGTGCAGCACTTACAATCAGAACTCTGCACACAGACTCACGCACACAAGCACACACGTTTACAGAGTCACACACACAGAGGGAGACACACCCCCCCCCCTCCCCCCCCCCCCCCCCCCCCCCTCCTTCACTGCAGACACAAAACATTCGACAGCCCCTGGTGTGCCAGTGCCTCATCGTGAGACACTGCCAGCAAACTGTACTCTGCATTCACACACACTGTAGCTGTTGTTTGTTCCACATAAAAATAAATGTAATAACAAAAGTAAAATCAGAAGAGGAGTTAGTGATTAGAAGCTAAAATGATAGTGACAATAATGACAAATAATAATCACCATCATCACCACCTTATCTTAATTTACATTTGTATTGCAGTTTTCTTTCAAGTGCTTACATAAATATAAAATCTATTAAAAAAACAATAATGAAATAAAATAATACAATGAAAGGAAATCTTATGCATTTTCAGTTTTTGCTTTTTCTACTGCCTGCTTGCATTATGATTTGGGGGTGTACTGTTGTAGCTACACTAGTTGAGAGTAACTTCTTTTACTGTAAGTAACCCACACACAAAAAAGTAGACAATCCCGATTACTATATGCCAGTGAAGTGAACCAAGCACTTTGGATAAATAATTCAGTGCCACAGTGAAGGAATGTGTGTAGAAAGAGAGGAGGTTTGGCTCTCGATGAAGAATCATGTGTGGAAGATTTTCAGGAAGGACAAACGCCTCTGGCCCTTTAATTTGGTGTTGCTAGGGAAAATGAAGCTGTTTACTCTAGCATCAGTCACACAGATGATGTATGCATTAACTCTCCACAATACACATCTACGCCTTGGATGGAAAACAAAAGTAGATGGAAGGTTCATTGTTAGGCCAGTTGAAAGAGTTGGACAACAGGACATTGGAGCTAGAAATGAGAAATGGTGACTAATCCTGACATCTAGTGGATATTGTATGGAACTGAGGATGTATGTGTGTAGTGTGTTTGTTTCTTTACCGTATATAATTTGCAGACCTTTAAATTAAACCCCCTTCCCCCAGGTCTCACAGGTACGTAAAGGCCTATGTGAAAATTACATAACTCCACATTTCTGACTTACATTTTTGTTAGATTGCACTGGAAAACATTTATAGGTTATTGGCATAAAGAGTATGTAAATCATATCACAGACTATTTGACATATTATACAGACAAAGATGGTAAAGAACAGTGGTGGAATGTAACTAAGTACTGTACATAAGTAGAATTTTAAGGTATCTGTACTTTGATATTCTTCGACTTCACCACATTTTAGAGGCAAGTATACTTTTTACTCCACTACATGTATTTTATAACTTTTGTTACTAGTTACTTTTCAGAACAAGATTAATACAAAAATACAGTATAATTAAAAGACTTTATTGATCCATTGTGGGAAATATGTCAAGCTACTCATCAGTAATTAAAATTAAAAGCATATAAGGTATTTAAAACTATAGCTCCACCTTTACCAATTGCAACATTAAATGTGATGTACATAATAATGTGTCAGTAATTATAATTCAATAAAAAGATATACATTCATGTTAAATGTGCCATTTTGCATAATGAGTACTTTTACTTTTAGAACTTTACTTGTGTTTTCATGCTAATAATTGTGTTGTTTTATTTACAGGTAAGTAACAGACTAAAGTTAGTTATGGATTTCTACAGGGTTCAGTGCTAGGTCCAGTTCTCTTTACTTTATACTTTATGCTTCCCTTAGGCAAAATTATGAATAACATATATATGAATATATAGAATTATATTGTAGTGTATAGTGTTGCATATGTGTTGTATGTACTGTATATCACATATCATTGTTAGAAAGATATGTTAATATATTTATCTTGCTTTAAAAATGACGTCCTATAGAAGAGACAATAAACAATAAAGACAAAGACACAATCACATAGGCTATAAATTATATAAGCGTATTAGCAAGACTATAGTATCTGGTTATTTGATTTAAAATTTTAAATGGCCTACATAATAGGCCTAGTAGTAATAGTGGTATGATAAATAATAATGAAAAAGTAAATAATAGCAAAAAATACTTGTAACATGTTTTGTAAAGGATCTGAAAACGGACTGACAAACCGTACAGCACCCAAGGCGTGCGCCGATATTACGTTGAAGGGACTGTACTACATTACCCGAGTGTCTTTTAACTGAAACGTCACCCAGTCAACATGTTTGGGCCATTTGGGCCACCATACTTGTTGTGTTTGTTTGTGTCGAAGCAAAGATGGCGAACGAACTGGACAGAGTGCGGATCTCAGCTGCGGAACTCCGAGCTGAAGCATCGAGTGCTGTTAATATTACAGACTGTCAGAAAGGTGAGAGGAAATGAACCCGCTACATGGGATTAATACAGTTTTGAAAAAGTAGATAAACTCAAGAGAAAGAGCACTCTAAGTTCGCTGAAAGTAGCCTATGGAATGCCTAAGTTTGTAACGAGCTAATGTTGTTAGCTAGCGGGCTAACGTTATGTCTGCTCATTCTTTCGTCTCGCGCGGTCCGTTTTAAACGAGCCCTTCAAACATAACGACACCATATCATTTATGTGCAACAGTCGCCACCTGTTTGTTAATATATATTATTCGCACTATTTCTTGGTGGTGCATACTTTAGTAGAAGTAATGTGTTCTCAATTTTTGAACGTAGCGTTGGTTAACACTGACGTTAGGACCGATAAGTTCAACTGTTGTCATGGTTAAACGATGGTTGTTATTAAGGAAGTAACGTTAGATATGCTAACGTTCAGTTGTCAGCTGAAAAGAGCAAGGCTTAATAGAAAGCTCATAAAAAGTATCAAACAGTTGTCAGAACGGCCTTCTGTTTCTAATATGACAAGTATTGCAGGCTTACTTGTAGCTGCACATCTCTCACGTGTAACGTACTTTTCTTGAATCCGCTCAAAGACACAAGGCAAGTCAGGAATTGCTGAGAGACGATTAGAGGCATTGCTCCGTTTGGTCTTGAATTGGATTTATTGACAAGGAGAGAACCAAAATATAATAACCACATTTGAAATACCCAGTACTTTATTTACTTTGCCTGTCACAAACTTTGTTTCAGGATAATAATTTTTGCCTGTCTTTCTTTCTCCAGAGAAGCAACATGTACACAAGCAGCGTAGAAGACATGAAGGAAAGCGCCCTGATGTGCAGCGCTACCAGCCAGTAGCTGGTCATGTGCTCCATCATCATGGCAATGAGGAGGGTGAAACTGGTCAAAGTGATCCCCTAACCACTTATTCGCAGGAGCATAATCAACCATCACAGAGTGAGAAAAAGGGTACCTCTGTAAAGGTTTTAGAAAGGTATGGGTGCATAGATGGTGGGCCAGATGCCAACAGAATGGAAGAAGGCAGGATTAGAGGTGATTGTAGTAACACAAAGAACTGTAGAAAGAGCAGTCAGTCACAGGCTAAAACAGAAGAAAATCAAGAAAACCACTTTGCTGAAAATGGCAGAGAACACCAGGAACCTGCTGGAGCTGCTAAGCAGGCAAAGAAAGCCCGCAAACCTGACCGAGAATTTTATCAACCCGGTAGCCGGAGGAACATCCAGGGCAGGGACTGTGGAGTTGAAAGAGAGCAGGATAAACCTTCCCCTAGCAAGCATGAGTGGAAAACTGAGCCACAGTCTCAGCTGAACACAGGGGGAGTTGAGGAAAACAAAAAAACATCTATACAGAAGCAGGGAGAGAAAGAAAAAGGTGTAAAGGGGCAGGTAAGTGAAAAATTGTCTAAATCCAGTAAGACCAACAGAAAGCAAGAAAGCCAAGATGTGGACAAACCCCCATTATCTTCTGATGCTTTGGTGGAGAAAATTACCAGCAAAGTAGAAGAACTTAGCATGAATGACAAGCATAAAGTGGTATGTGAAAACCAAGATGTGAGCAAGTTAAGTTACAGGAAAGGGGAAGCAACAGATAAAGGAAGACGAGGACAAGGAGGAAGAGCAATAGATGAGGAGGAAAAGGTAGAGAAGAGGAGGGAAAGGGGAAACCGCAGGAGAAGAGGACAAGTGAAGGAGAAAGAGAGGCATCAGGATTCCAGTAGAGGAGAAGATGAAGTAGTTAGTAGAGGAAAAAGTAACCAGGGGAAAGCTGAGAAAGGACAGGAGAGGAGAGGAGCAGAAGCAGGTGAAGATGACAAACCAGGTAAGGCAGGACTAACACACCAAAGCAAAGGCAGAGAGAATCGCAGAGAAATTAGAAGAGGAGACATCAACAGAAACAGGTCCAGAGAGGCTGGTGAAGACGCTAAGACAGAAATAAACATAGTCCACACTGTAGAAAGAGGTGATAGAAACAAATCTAATACTAACATCACAACACCAACCTCAAAACGATATTCCAAATCAGATATTCGCCGCTCACGGAACCGAACTTACAGCAGTAGCTCAGCCAGCAGTGTGACCAGCCTGGATGGTCCTGGACTAAGAATGGACGTGGAAAGTACCAAGTGGCCACACTTGGAGACAAGGCACAATAACAGAGAGCGGATAGCTAACAGTGGAGAAGGACAAAGGAGTCATATACCAAGCTGGGCAACCAACGGAAACTCATCTACAGAATCACTGGAAGGGAGTGAGATGAGTGACATAGCAGAAGAGAGGAGGAAAAGAAGAGAATGGGAGGAAGAGTTAAGTGCAGAGAGGCAGAAGAAAGAAAGGAATAGACCAAAGGGAAACAACAGTAGAGGTTCAGGAATCCTAAGGGTTTCTCTAGATAAACAGTCGGGTATCTCATCACATAGTGGGGATGCACAATATCGCAAGCAAGGCTTGGTTCGTGGCAGAGGTGGAGGTATCCTAGTACTTCCATCACGCACAGACATCACTAATTCACCTGATGCTGGGCAAAGACTTCTTTTTGGTGGAATTAGGGGAGGGGCAGCTAGCAGGAGTAGAGGGAGCAGAGGAGGAGGAGCGAGGCGACTTTGGGACCCCAATAACCCAGACCAGAAACCTGCTCTTATCAGCACCCAGTCCTCACAACATTCATCTCTCCAGGTGCCTGTATATCTTCAGACAGGCAGTGGATATGGACAGCTCCACTTTCTGGACACAGATGATGAGGTTTCAGGCAGTCCTCCAGTCCCACAGGGTGAGCACTTTCGGTCCCAGCAGGCTGCTGCAATGGCCTTCTACAAATTCCAAAACTCTGACAACCCCTACAGCTACTCCATGCCCATTAGCAATCCACAAAATCCTGGCACCGCCACTAGCCAGCACTATCCATATCCTTATCATATGGGGCCCTACCAAGTGGCTCCCCATAATGGTATGTACCCAGGCGCTGGTGTGGGTCAGTTCTGTGGGAGTTACAGGGGAACAGGTCATTCTCAGCCAGGTGCAGGAGGTGGTTTGACATTTGAAGAGGTGGAGCAACAAGCCAGAGGAGAGCTAGGGAGGCTGCTGCGGGCTGCAGATGCACAGGAGCTTCAGCTCAGTAACCTGCTGTCCAGGGACAAAGTGAGTGCTGATGGACAAGAGCGTATGGCTCAGCTCAGGTGAGGATTGGGGAAGAAAGATTTGTATTAGTGACCTTTTTTTGTTTGTGTTTTATGTTTAAATTTTTTGTCTTATAGTACTTGTTTGGCTGTCATTTGCCCCTTGGGGCTAATTAATAATTAACTCAACAGAACTGAGTCAGTAGTTGTATTGAAAAATCACTGTCCTGTTATGCCCTGTTTTTTCTAGAGCGGACCTTTTAGGGCTGTATGAGCAGGTCATCCTAGCAGACATTGAATTCTCAGACTCTCAGAACGTGGATCAGGCTTTGTGGAAAAACGTCTTTTATCAGGTCATAGAGCACTTCCGGCAGTTACTCAAGGACCCCGCTTATGATAACACCCCTCATATCAGGAACATGCTGCTCACACTTCTCGATGAGGTAAGAAATTTGTGGAAAAATCAGATGAGGTGGGTTCTTGCAAAATATGGATATTTAAGCATAAGGCTGGTCATTTTTTATATTAAGTCTTTTAAGCACTTCCTATACAGAGACTTAAACCAACAATGGTTTTCCTCTACTCACTGTTAATGGCTGTAAATCTGGCAGTTGTGGATTATTTTATTAGTCTGTGCCATAGATCTCCACTGTTGTTCAAAACTGATTAAAAACACATTACAGAAACACACTGTTGCACTGGTTGACAGGTTTCCTCATTATGAAACACAAGACCAGTCTTGTGTTTTATTGATTTGATTGTTTTACTATAACTTATTTGTTGTGATAACTATCTGTGTTTTACAGGGAGCACTATTCTTTGATACACTTCTTCAGAAGCTGCAAAAAGTGTACCAGTTTAAGTTAGAAGATTACATGGATGGCATGGCTATCAGGGCTCGGTCATTACGCAAAACGGTACAGCAAAGCTCCTTTTAGTCTGTGTTTATTTGTTATTAAAAATTGAAGTGGGGAATAAAAAATACGTAACATCTTAGCTTGTTGTGACTTGGGGTGTCACACAAAAATATATTCCTTTATTATGCAGTTAAAGTGCAACTTAAAATCTTTGAAAAGTAGTATAGTAGCAGTCACACAATTTATACTTTTATTGAGCCAGTCAATGGTCATATTACCATGTTACTAGCAATACAGTTGCCAACAGAAACGTGGTAGTTTACAGTTTAATTGTACCAATAATTATGTCCTAACTGAACTTTGCATGTAGTAAACTGTTAAAAATTTTCTTGCGTTTTTGCCTTTTTCAGGTAAAGTATGCACTGATCAGTGCTCAGCGCTGTATGATTTGTCAGGGAGATATAGCACGTTACCGTGAGCAAGCCAGTGACTCGGCTAACTATGGCAAGGCTCGCAGGTATGCTGTATTCAAGTGTTCAAGAGATATTGTTTTCATTTAGTCCTGAGTATTTTCGAAAATTCTTGCACCACTCACAGTCTCTGACAGTTTTTAAAACTTTTTTTTTGACTTAAACGTTTTTCTTGAGATGCTACTTGCTAAAGACTTTGTGCTATAATAGGGAACATTTCTTCCTAGCTGTGTATTTGTGATTAGACAAGAACCAAATTATTTAAGGTAAAAGCAGAAAATTTCTCAGATGGTATCTCATGGCTACACATTTCCATTACTTCTTAGCTGGTACCTGAAAGCCCAACAGATTGCCCCCAAAAATGGACGTCCATATAACCAGCTGGCCCTGCTCGCAGTTTATACAGTAAGTGAAGAGAAGTAGGGAAATTTTTTTTTTTTGCTGAAAACATTCTTTGCATTATTAGATGACTGGATTTTATTAAGTTTTTTTTTTGGCTCTTTGTCTGCCATTTTCATTATCCTTTTGTTCAAACCAGTGTAGATTTTCCTCTTGCGCCTGTGTCCAGGCGGTTTGCTGCAGTCCCATGGACCTCAGATGTCTTATTGATATTTGCAACTGTACTAATAGGAACATCCAGCTCCTTGGAGATGGTCTTATAGCCTTTACCCTTTACTGTGCTTGTCTCACTTACTTGCATACTTACACACATACACCTGCCCAGTTTGTACCTCAAAACAAGGTGAGATTCTTAACTAAGGCAGATAGTAACTGGTGATCATCTCCTTATATAAACAGGTAGTTTCAGTTGTAGCTGTGCTGTCTTGTGTTCCATCGTATAGACATGCCTGACTTTTTATAACCACTGAGCAATTGTGGGAGGGTTAGGCTTCCTCAAATTAATAGCAAATTTCTTTCAGCTATCAACAAAATATGTAGTCTATAACACTGGTCTGTCAAACACATGTTCAGGTGATACTTTCATTAGGAACAATAAAGGGTCCAGAGGACTTTCTACATTCTTTCTTTGCTGTTTCTCCAGAATCTTAGTAACCGGGTTTTAATTTTTTGTGACTGTATGTCTCCTGGCACATCTCAGGAATGACCGAAAAATACAGTTATATTCTGTGTAAAGATCTGTTTGCCCCAACTCTCCGTGTCCCTTTCTAGGATGCCTTGCGTCTCTTACTCTTGTCCCACCTCACTCACTTACAGAAGCGGAAGTTGGATGCTGTGTATTATTACATGCGCAGCTTGGCAGCCTCCAACCCCATCCTGACTGCAAAGGAAAGCCTGATGAGTCTGTTTGAGGAAGCTAAGCGTAAGGTCAGACACACACTTCGGTCATTAACTTGTACCAGATGATTAACCTTTTTCCTTGGAACAAAAACTTCTGACATCAGTGCACATCATTGATGCGGATACACTCGTAGCAAATAACTCATGGACCGTTAGTAGGAACATTAAGAAAAATGTAATGATATAGACATATTTGTATGTTAATGCAACAATTAGCTTAATAAATTACCTTATTAGCAATGAAGTCAAGTCAAAAATCATTTATATCAGTAATATAATGTAATAAATCAGTAATATAATGTAATGAAGTGCTCCTTGTTTATACACTTTGTTATTGTAGGCAGAGCAACTTGAACGGAGGAGGAGGCAGGAGCATGATGGAGGCTACAGGGGTCCAGCTGTAAGAGGGAGAGGAAGAGGGGAAAAAGGAGTGCGTGTTGAGATTTGGATTCGCCCCAGCGGACAGGCAGTGATCCCGTCTTCACAAAGAGGAGGTAGTGAGTCCAGCAGAGACTCCGAACAGGATGGAGAGCTTGGAAGTCTCAGCGCTAGTGACGTAAGATCCCTTTTTTCCTTTTGCTCTCTTAAACAAATATGCATGTCAAGTGTTGTGTGATGTGTCTTTGTCTTTGCAGGTACGTATGTGCTCGAGTCACTTTGTGATGTTCTGTGTTATTTTTAAACAGGGGGATGCTAATGCCAGCAGACATCTCACAGTTGTATAGTTTAATTTCTCCTCTTCTGCTTAGGCCACCATTCTTGTCGAGTGTTGTGCAAAGCTTGTAGAATGTTACCCCAATCTTTTGATTCAAGTTACCCAATTTAAAGGCAGTGCCACTAAATATTAACAAAGTGTATGTAAATTTTTGACCCTCTGAGAATGTGAGAAAATAACTAAAAGCTAAAACAATAAAATTCTCTTTATCATTATTCTGATATTTTACATCATCAAAATAAAGTAGTTGGGCTAACTGAGCCAACAGGGAAGTTTACTGAATTGAAATGGTAGGAATTGTGAAAAACTGAGTTTGAATGAGTTTATCTCAGGTGTATATAAACGTCTGACCTCAACTGTAGTTCCTCTGCTTTCGTTTTTTCCTCTCATTTAGTATGTCCTGTCCATTCATTTCTTTTGACTCATTTTATGCCCTCTGTTGCCATGTTATTTTTACTTTTTTAATATTTCCTGGTCCTTCATTTGTGCTCACTTATGGATTGTTGTCCTTGTTGATATGTTCCTCTTTACCCTTTTTCTTCTTTTGTCAGTTGGTCCTTTTGGTTTGTTTCCTGTTTGTGCTTGCAATGATTCACTATCTATTAAATGCAGCAGGCTTTTTACAGTAATTGGGGATCTATCCATCCATTTCTTTCACTGCTTATTCTTACAATTGTCAGCTAAATTTGAAAGAACTGGATGAAGATATGTACATACGAAATATGTTTCTTTCTTACTGTCAAGTCCCTCCTAAGTGACACTGAGACAGATACAGCAGATAGTTGAGAGGTATAAAGTACCTTTTCCATCAGGTCCTAGGTTTTTCTCGAAGTGTCTTCTCAGGTGTGTGTGTGTGTGTGTGTGTGTGTGTGTGTGATTCCTCACCAGTGAGACATGTTCAGGTGGCTTCCTTCCATATCAACTAGCTTGGTTACACACTTGTTTCTGTAAGAGAGCTTTGCTGACTTTGATTCATTATTGAACATTACGCAGCAAGTAATTTATTGCTGTCAGGAGTGGATTGTTCCAGTGAGAGATCACAATTCTGCCTACTGCTGTCTTTTTGTTCACATCCCTGTATCAGTTAGAGTTCGACTTTTATTTTTAATACTGTGTGCTTTTGAAAATGTACCAGTTTTTTGACATGGTGACTTTGTGGTATTTCCATTTTGTTTTCTTTACTTCTTACCTAACCTGTTTTGTCTCTCCATTGTTCGCTGTCTCTGTTCATTGTCATTGTATTATTTTGGAGGATATGTCTGTATCCTCTTTGCCAGCTTCAGTAGCCTTTCAGTCCATTTCCTCCCATCCCTGTTGTTAGAAATCCCGGGTGCATTTATGTGGTTATGTCAGCGTCAAACCTCTTCTTGTGCTTTGTCACTGAAGACCTGTGTTTTTTTTTGCCATGTGAAGTAGGGTTTGTAGCTAAATTAAAAAGGATGTTCAAAGATGTTCTCTCAACCTTCCTGTTTTTTTTCTCCAGCTAAATAAGAGGTTCATTCTGAGTTTCCTGCATGCACATGGAAAGCTCTTCACTAAAGTGGGGTGAGTGATGTCTCCTTTTCCAACTCGTACACTGGACTGAATGAGTTTGAAGGACTGAGAATATAATCTGAAAAAATGTATTTTTGTGTCTGCGTATGTGTTTGCCTGTATTTGTATGAATGTGTGTGCATTGCTTATGCAGTATGGAATCCTTCCCTGCGGTAGCAAGCCGTGTTCTGCAGGAGTTTAGGACACTGCTCCAGCATATCCCTTCCCCACTGGGCAGCTCGCACATGCTGCAGATCATCACCATCAACATGTTCACCATACACAATGCCCAAAGCAGAGGTAATGCTGCACTCACCCACACACCATTACCATCATCATCAAACAGCAAACATTCCTTCGACGCTTTAACACTGTGTTTTTATCTGCAAAATAAATACAAATACACCTTTATTACATTTATTACTTTTTATTTTATGCGGGTGAGTAACATGTCATTTGTTGGCCGATGCATAGTTGATTATAGCTTTTTGACTTCTTTTAATTTCATCACATGCAAGTTCTTCAGTCAGTGTTAATATTGATGCAAATGCTTTTTGTCATGCTATTTTATATTTGTATGTGTTTATCAGGTGAAGAAGGCGAAGTGCGCTCTGTTTTGCAAGAGCAAACCACTGCCCTGGGTCTCAGCATGTTTGCATTGCTGGTGCAGCGCTGCACAGAGCTTCTCAGAGATACTCCTGCAGGTACAAGTACAGTAAACTCCACATATTTGATCAGTCGCATTGATTAAAATTATGCTTCTATACTCACCTAATTCAGGTACACATTAGTGAATATTAGTATTAGAGTGTTATCATTCATATAATTCAAACAGAACTACTGTACAGTCCCAGAGCAGATAGATGGAAATTATTTGTAGAGCTAATTAGTAAGCAGAGAATTTTCTCTTGATTTAATGCTCCTGTTTTACACATTTTTTCTTGTTTAACATTAAGTGTTGTATTTCTAAAACATCCATCTGTCAGAACCAGTCCCCATGGCAGAGGGAGAGGAGAAAGGTCAAGGGGAGGAGGGTGAGGGTATGGTGAAGGTCTCTACCTTCCCATTGGCCCTTAGGGAACTACTGCCAGGCATCAAGGTCTGGTCTGACTGGATGTTGGGACACCCAGACCAGTGGAACCCACCGCCATGCGGTATAGAGTGAGTGCTTTAAATGTGCTTTAAATGTGCAGTAACAGATTGTGATGGATATTTCAGGGCAGTGAAAACAAATTGTGAACATATCATGGCATATCTTTTATTTTGATATGGCAAACCTGTGGCAATAGTTGGTTTGATATGGCAATAGTTCATTATCTTTGATTTGGAGCCCTGTGTCTGGTCACCTGATGAATGAAAGCCTAACATTCACTCTTTTTTTTTTTTCCTTCATCCTACTACTGAGGAAACTATCTTGGTCATTAGCTGCTAAATATTCCACTGTGTTCATCAGCTAGTTGCTAACTGTGTCTATCTGCTGTTTGATGCTGAGTAGCAGGTAGAGCTCAGTGGCTTTTTAGAGCTATTTCACTAAAGCAACTGCCTGCTGTAAATGAAAGTGATAAGAGTGAATCAGAACCATAAAGCTGTGGGCCAGACAGATAAATACTAAGTTGAAAGTCATTATAGAGCTCTGCAATGCTGAGCGAAGCTGTAAATTTTGGTGGTAATTCTGAACCTACTAGGGTGGGTTCATACTGATGGCTCTTGCAATTACACATTGTCATTTGATGTGTTATTATAAATGTATTTGAAATTATTACCTCAAGATAGTCTGGTGGTTCTGCTCATGGCTTCTACCATACCATAGCATAGCACAAACAACACATTCTGCCACTTGTGGTTTTTCCTCTCTATCAAGTGGCAGCCCTGATGTTTGGCAGTGCCTAGCTGACCTTTGTAACGTGCTGGCGCGTGTAGACCATGGAGAAGTGCCACTGTACAAAGTTGACACTGATGAAGGTGAGGGAGACGAGGAGTTGATGGTGCTGCAGTTGAAGGAGGACAGACTGCTTGCCGGTTTTGTACCGCTGTTGGCTGCACCTCAGGAGCCGTGTTACACAGACAAACACACTGACATAGTAAGTGAAGGGTAAAAGTGTATTTTACCTATTGTACCTGTTCCCTGGTACATACCTCTACTCCTATTCTGTCACCTTTTACACTCCTAATTGCCTTCTTCGTCTTGTTCTCATACACATACAGTTGAAGTTTATATACACCTTAGCCAAATACATTTAAATCCTATAAACATTCCCTGTCTTAGGTCAATTAGGGTAATGACTTTATTTTAAGAATGTGAAATGTCTGAATAATAGTAGAGAAAAAGATTTATTTCAACTTTTTCTTTCATCACATCCCCAATGGGTCAGACGTTTACATACACTCGGTTAGTATTTGGTAGCATTGCCTTTAAATTGGTTTTACCTTGGTTCAAATGTTTCGAGATGCTGCTCAGAAGCTTTTTACAATAAGTTGCTGGAATTTTAGCCTTTTCCTCCTGACAGAACTGGTGGGACTGAGTCAAATTTGTAGGCCTCCTTGTTTGCTTGTTTTTCGGTTCTGCCCACAAATTTTCTACTGGATTGAGGTCAAGGCTTTGTGATGGCCACTCCAATGCCTTGACTTTGTTGTCCTTAAGCCATTTTGCCACACCTTTGGAAGTATGTTTGGGGTCATTGTCCATTTGGAAGACCCATTTGCACCTAAGTTTTAACTTCCTGGCTGATGTCTTGAGATGTTGCTTCAATATATCCACGTAATCGTCCTTCCTCACGGTGCCATCTGTTTTGTGAAGCGCCCCTCTCCTGTGGTGTTAATACTTTCGTAGTATTGTTTGTACAGATGAACCTGGCGCCTTCAAACATTTGGAAATGTCTCCCAAGGATGAACCAGACTCGTGGAAATCCACAGTTTTCTTTTTTTTTCCTGAGGTCTTGGCTGATTTCTTTTGATTTTCCCATAATGCCAAACAAAAAGGTACTGAGTTTGAACGTAGGTCTTAAAATATATCCACAGGTACACCTCCTATTGACCCAAATGATGTCAGTTAGCCTATCAGAAGCTTCTAAAGCCATGGTGTCATTTTCTGGAGTTTTCCAAGCTGTTTAAAGTCACAGTCAGCTGAGTGTATGTAAACGTCTGGCCCGCTGGAACTGTGATATAGTGAATTATAGGTGAAAAAATCCATCTGTAAACAACTGTTGCAAAAATTACTTGTCATGCATAAAGTACATGTCCTAACAGACTTGCCAAAATGAGAGTTTAACATGACATCTGTGGAGTGGTAAAAAAAAAAAAAACTTTAATGACTTCAACCTCAATGTATGTAAACTTCTGACTTCAACTGTATATCTTTATCCTTATTTCCTCAGGCAATAGCAGCAGATTGTAAGAGAGTGACCGTGCTGAAATACTTTCTGGAGGCTTTGTGTGGACAGGAAGAGCCTCTGCTGGCCTTCAAGGGAGGCAAATACATCTCTGTGGCAACTTCTCCTCCACCTAACCACTCAATGGATACAAGAAACAGGCAGGATTCTCTCACAGAGAAGGAGGTGACTATTTTTTTCCTTCTTTCAATGACCTTTCTTCTTCACTTAGCTGCCTCTTTTTTCAGGTCTAATTGCACTTATATCTTTCAAAATTTGACCTGTTCTGAATTATGTACATGCTGAAGTTTAATTTTCATTGTAGTTTAGCAGAGGTTTGGTTGTGGAAGCCGAATTGCTGATGATGTCCTTTATTCCTTGTCTGTCTGTTTGGCAGGATGACGACGTTATAGTTGAGGCAGAGTCATCTCTCTCTGCATCAGAAGGAGAGGAGGATGCCGAGGAGGCAGGAGACAGTGAGAATGACATCAGACAGCTAAAGGCACGACGCCATGCCCTGGCCAACAAACTGGCACAGCAGCAGAAGCGCAGGGATAAAATACAGGTAAAAATTGCATAGCTGACAATAAATACTTGAATAAAGTTGCTAATCTGTTTTTATTGAAAGGACTTCATAGATTTACTTCATAATTGATTTATTAAAGCTGCATTAACAACGATTTAGCACAAATTTGGATAAATCAAGTAAAAAAAAAAATTCTGGAACTGGTGTCTTCTTGCATTACTAACCCCTCATCCCACTCTATCTTCAGGCCTTGTGTTTATTTCTTGCCCTCTGTGGCCAGTGTTGTTAAAATCCATACCACACTTCCACACTCCTGCTGATCTGAGGTTATAAGATGTTTCAAAACCAGTATGGCTCATTTCAAAGATGGACCATGGAGGTTACCTTTGCAGGTACAAACTGGGATGGGAGCGGAGATGTTTGACCCAAAAGGTCATGTTCTGTAGCACAGGAAGAGTCCACCAAAGAACAAGGCAAAACCAGGGCTAGCATCAGTTTGGCATGTTGGAGATGCAGAACAGTAAAAGTTTCAGAGACAGCACAGTCTCAAAAACATTTCAGGTTATGAGGAAAGCTTTAGATTTTTCTGGTCATTTTAACAGGACATCTGTTAAAATCTTCGCTCCCATCCTGGTTTGTACCTACAAAAGGAACCTCCACAGTCCATCTTTGAAATGAGCCATACTGGTTGTGAGCCATATCATGTTGTGGCAGAGCTGAATTTCACATTAAGTTGAATGTGTGTGTCCCAGGCGGTGCTGCAGACAGGCGGGCAGTTGGAGCTGGAAGTGCGGCCTTCCTTTTTGGTTCCAGATACCAATGGATTCATTGATCACTTGGGAGGACTGAAGAAACTTCTTCAGTGTGGAACCTATATAATAGTTGTGCCGCTCATCGGTAAGACTGAAAGACACAGAGGAAAGTGGACAGAAACACTCTCTAGTAGCTCTCTAGTAAGGGGGACAAAGGAGGATTAGATTGTGGTGTTATGACATATTTAAGATGAAATAAATGCATCCCATGGGTCTAGCAGTTAGTGTAGAGACAGGAAATGTTTATGTATACTCATCATATGATGTGTTCTCTCTCTCAGTGATTACAGAGTTAGATGGCTTGGCTAAAGGCCAGGACAGCTTTGGTGGTGGAGTGGGCTCAGGGGTACGTGGCACTAGCGGCCGTGGCAACTGTATTGCTTCTGTGGCTCATGTGAGAGCTGTGCAGGAAAAGGCCCGATTGGCAGTGGCTTTCTTAGAGAAAGGATTTGAAGCCAGGGAACCATGCCTCAGAGCCATGACAAGCAGAGGAAATCAACTCGATTCTATTGCATTCCGCAGTGAAGACACCTCTGGACAACAGGTGAGAGCCTGAATCAGTGTAGTCCAAAGTGTTGTTTCATTTTATTTTGTTTTATGATCTCTGTGGTAATTTGTTTCCAGACTGTGCAATGAAATAAGACTGTTATGTTTTGCTGGGAAGCTGACTTGTTTTTCTGTTCTGCCTCAGGGCAACAATGATGATGTGATTCTGTCCTGCTGTCTTCATTACTGCAAAGACAAGGCAAAAGATTTCATGCCTGATCAGAGAAGTACGTTAACAGTGACTCGCATTCACTGTCAGTGTTCATATTTCCACTTTGCATCAGTTATTATAAATCCAGTCTTCTGAGTTTGTCCATTACTACCCTTTGCCCCATCCCTTGCTGCCCTCCCCCACACAGATGGGACAGTGAAGCTCCAAAGAGAGGTGGTGCTCCTTACAGATGACCGCAACCTGCGTGTCAAAGCTTTGACCCGCAACGTCCCAGTCCGAGACATCCCTGCTTTCCTCAGCTGGGCCAAAGTAGGCTGAACCAGGTCAAGATAAAATCAAAGGAACCCAACTGCTGAAGCCTGCTTGTCACTCAGCCAGAGGAGAAGACACACTTAAGCAGAGGAAGAAGAAAAGGAGGTAACAGGGAAGAAGAAATGATAAAGAAAGCGAAGAACCACTTCTTTTGAAATGCAAGCAAATCTAGTGAGATTGGAGTGGTTTCAGTGATCCTTTCTCCCTTGTGATGAAGTGCGTGTGTGTGTATGTATGTGTTAAGATCAGTGAGCTTCCCCAGGAAGAGACAGGGAGACTTGTTAAGTCTCTGGAATGCTGGACTGGAAGAGAGGAAGGAGGTAAAAATGGAGCAGTTTGGTTTGTAAGTTGTCTCATCCAGCCTGGAGCCTCTTTGCCTATTTAGTGAGTGTGTACTCTGCAAGCAGTATTAAAATTGGAGGCTGATGATGGAATGAGCCTGAGAGGAGGAGAGTGTTTATGGACATTTAATTGATTAAAGACAGCAGTAATGAAGGCCTAGCTGGCCCAGTCTTATAGACTGCTGTGATGTCTACAGCAGAGCTGAAAGAAAGGTGGGCAGAGAGAAGCACAGCTGCAGGCTCAGTGATAGTACAGTACAGAGTGTCTGATTGTAGAGAGGGATAATCAAGAGCTCTCTTGCAACCTTGGCATCTCCTAGGAATCACAAGCAAATGTGGTATTTCCTGCTAACCCAGGAAACGCCTGATTCCTGTTTGGTAACTTGAGCTGTTCCTCCGGCCTGATGCTGACATTAGGTTCAGCTATTACGAAGAATGTTCTTAAAAATTAGTAACAAAAATATCGGTTTATTTTTCTGTTGTTTTATTATTATTATTTTAAATCCTTTTGCTTCTTGATGGCATTTTTTCCATTTTGAAGATTCTGATAAGATCTAAAATGTTTTCCCAAAAATACCATGAACCATAATTTATTGAATCAAATTTTTGAGTTTTAATATCTGGCAGCAAATGTATTTGTAATTAATCATTCAGTTGTGTGTTTGAGCGGTATAACGTGTGAAATTTAATATATCAGGACTTCTCAATTGGTCTATGGTAAGTTTTCAGTTCCATAAAATTGCCCTATATTGACAATCTTATCGGATTTTGTCCTTTGAGTACAATTCCATCTGTCACTTAAAACAGTGTGAAACAAAAATTTGCATACACTATTTGACCGAGGTCAGCTTTAAGTGGTTTGGTAGTTTAGTGACTTTGCAGATACTTTATTATTGAGTACAATTGGTGACTGTTTCACTTTATTTTCTATTCATCTTTATACCAGTCTGGTTTGTGCTTTTTAGTTCATATCACCATAGTAGTTAGTTTTTATAAAATGTTTTTAATCACCATTACCCAGTTTTTTCCCCTAACGGCACTAATTACAGACTGTAAATTTGCCATTGAGTGCAAAGAACACCTCACTGACGCATCATCAAAAACACCGAAAGGCAGTGTTTGTGTTCACAATTTTGCTTGGTCTACATTGCTCAGGAGATTTTCCTTTGTCAGTGTATATGTTTGCATTTAAGACGTGTCAGGATGCTCAAAAAATATGTCTAAATACAGTGTCATCTGCTATGTTACCAGATAATTCATCAGTTTCTCATCTTATGGGTTTAAAGTAATACTGTAGAAGTGGCTATCCTGCTTCTTGTTTGATCTATATCTTTTCAGCTAGGCTTGTACAACTTCATCAGCAGTTGATGTTTCTGCATTCCTCTGTAGTGTTCAGTGCAGTGGCACCACTGCAGCTTTTTTAATGCTGGATCAAATGTAGTAAACATAACACAAGTGGCTTTTACGTCATCTGTCATTAAAGATGTCTGAAGGCATTTTGTTTACTTTATTAATGTGCAAATGAACAGTTGACATTGTGAGGAAATAAGAATGGTATAGGTGTTACTAATGTCAATATATTCAAAAGCATCTCAGTGAGCCAGCCTGCACAGTACCAGGACCCTGATGCAACTAAAAGGAATTGGGCCACCATTCATTTAATCATTTAGCTCATGTGGGACATATTATGTTGTGTAGAAAATCTGGAGTTGTGTTGTACACAAAAGACTATCTTAGTTATTTTATTCACTTTATCCTAAACCTAAAAGTAGAAATGTACCATATCTTCAAAACCTGCCATTATCAGTACTTCGCAAGTGTGTGTGCACATTTAGATCACTAAATGAATTGTGACAAAAACTTTGGATGTAGTTGAAATATTTGTGAATGATTTAATGCTAATAAATACCGATAATAAAACTAGATAATCAAAATTACTGCAAGAAACAAAAGTAAATACACACTAAACCAAATAATTTTCAGAAATTATTTCTAAAGCATTGACATGCCAAAACTTTGCATGTGTGTCCTCATGTGGTAGTTGTACATTATACTGTTGGGAGTGATTGAACCAAGGAGTCAGCATTGAGTTTTGGGTGTAGCTTTGGTCTTGATAAATTCTTGAAATAGATAAATATGAGAAAATGTATGGGACCAAGCATAACCTCAGCAGACAAGCATAATCATCACAAATATTCAGTTCTTGTTTGAATAACTCTTGTTATCTATGGTCATACTATGAAGGATTCAGGTATTTACATATTGCATACGTGTGTGTGTGTGTGTGTGTGTGTGTCAGGGACAGAAAGTCCTACAGCCTGTGCATCCATATCATTTACTTCAGTATATTTCTGTGCCTGGATACAGACCACACACACAGCGCCCGATTCCCATCATCATGACAACAGGGCTACCAGACAACCAATCAAAGCCCTCTGAGCCCCATTCTGCAAGCTCATTGGTTTCCCAGTCTTTAGTCTGTTGTGGAATACCCATCTTTAACCTCTCTGCTGCCATTTACTTTGCACATATCCTATATTTTATCAGAGTAAATGAGCTACATGTGTATTTGTCCTGTGAGATATAATGTGTATTTTTGTGAATGTAAATGGAGGCTTCAGCAACACAAATGGTCACTGGCATGCTTCCCTGATGTAAACATGACAATGAAAACTGACAGTGTCAGAAATGGAAACATCTGTAGTATAGTACATCAGTGGACTTGTCATAACTGAAAAGCTGGTAGAATCCCACCTGAATTCATGTATAACATTTTTTACTGGTCTGACTGATTGTAAACCAGCTTTCATGTTAAATAACCATCTAATACCAAAATATTCCATGTCATAGACTATAAGGTATTGCACACTACAAGCTTGAATAGGTTTCACAAGGTATAAATTGACAGAGGATCTAATCATAGTACTGTCATTTTAGACTGCATTGTTCAGTTTTCACTTTCATTGTTTACTAGAATAAACTGTAAAATAGGTACATTTACTCAAGTACTGTACTTCAGTACAGTTGTGAGGAATCTTTCATTTTCTGCTACTTCCACTTCACTACATTTTTGAGACAAATATTGTACCTATTATTACATTTACATGCAATGTTTACTTTAACTTTACTTTTCAAAACCAGGTTAAGAAAACAAAATGGTATAAAAATGAAATTGTACTAATTTTTGTGGGAAATGTGCAAACTACTCAACAAATTATAAGCAAATAAGGTAGTTAAAATGAGCTCCACCTGTACCAGCTGCAACATTAAAATGATGAACACAGTAATACATCTATACTTATAATCCAATAATTTATTTATGGGAATTTTACTTTTGTACTTTTAACATTTTGAATGCAGGCCGTTTACTTGCAACAAGTAGTTTTATACTGTGCTACTGCTACTTTTACTTACGTAAAGGATCTTAGTGTTTCTTTCTCTGAGATTAAATTGTGGTGTTTTGATATAATACACCACTTTTATCACACTCTGGACAAGAACTGATGAGCTGCACAGCGTTGTCCTTGGATAGCCAAATGTTGGTTGAACCCTCATGACATCTGTTATTTATCTAGGTTTAATTTAAAAATGGTTTAATATTGTCTGCGATTTAACGACGGGGTATTTATAGTACAGGCCGGACTAGGACTGAAACTGTTATCAGGTTATGAGCTCAGTTACTGAAAATGCATGAAGGCTGACACGTTAAAAAGGGGGAGAAGTGGCCGAGACATAGGTATTCCCTTATATAAAATGGAAATAAATAAATTTAAAAAACTCGTGTTGTGTAGACGGTCATATTATGTGTATGGCTACACAATCATGCGAACAGCTGATGGATGGGAGTAGAAACAACCTTTTTGTGGGGGGGGGGGGGCAATATTTACCCAGAGCATCTGGAAAGCATCAACAAGATTCTCCAAAACTGTCACACGTGTACTCTTGTTCCAGGTTAAGCTGACTACAGCGCAGATAGTGTTTGTTTTTCGATCTGTATTTTTGATTCTTTCTCGGTGGAAGGAAGCTGATTTTCTTCGCCGCCATTTTTAGGGAACTGCCTATCGAAGAGAGAAACTTTGCTAGCAGCTGCCTAACATTAGCAACTAGCTCGTTGGCCAGTAGCCTGTCTGCGTTGTGACAGTTGCCGCTTGACACTCGTTAGCTAGGTCAGCCTGCCTCACGCTGATGCAAAATATTCTTGCGACTGGTCCGCATATATGGCAGAAACTGCTATTTCTAAAGTGAACAATTTAGCCAGACTTGAAGTCACTTTGCCCGTCTATATTTTGTCGGGAAATGGTGCCGTTAGATTAGTGAATTAGCACAGCTAACTTATTAGCAAGCGAGTTCCGACTTTGATTTCTCTGACTGCATCGCTTCGGCTGTGATTTAGCATCCGCTACTTTGTTCTGCCGTGTTCCGGGTTACTGGATTAATCAGCTGTTTACGCTCCACTTCTCAACCTGTGCGGATTTATTTTGATCAGGTAAGTCAATTTGCCTTGCCGTTGACTAATGATGTGTAAATTTGTGCTCCAACCTTATGTGCTGCAGCTGAGCTTGATCTCAACACAGGTTAACCGCGAGCTAACCAGCTAGGTTGATTTCAACTCACCAGCTAACCAAAAGTTGCTGTCACAACTTGTCTGGCTCATCGACAGGTTTTAGCCTTTCTTACAGGACAACTTCAGTCGCCCTTTGTTAGCACAAGCATGTCTGTTTTGAATGTCAGTGTAACACAGCGCCATAAAATGCCAGTGTATAGGGGTGCAGGACCAGCGAGCTAAATTGTGAATGGTGGGGTTTGATGTAACCGCTAGCTAAATAATGAAAGAGGCGTTAGCTATCCACGTTAGGTTGCTAATCCGCTTTAAGCAACTATCGTTGTAAGCTGTGCCACTCCCTTGTTTTTGTCCACTGTGGCTGTATATTAAAGGAAACTCGACTCTGGATGTTTCTGTTTTGGAAGTTTGCACATCTGCAAAAAGGCACATCATGAATCGCATACTGTCTGAGTAGATAGCTATGTAACAGTACGTGACATTGGTCAAGCCTCTTTCCGTGTCTGGCGCACGTACATGTCCTGGCATTGTGTTTACAAGCAGCATTAGTCGAGACACTGGCAAATCATTGTTTTCCAGCGTGTCTGCCCGTGCAATTGTCAAGCAGACCTCGCATCCATCGGCCACTGATGGCTCCTTTGTGCACTGACGTGAGTCGCATTCCTCAGTCTCCTGTGTTGATATTGCGTAACACTGGCTGTCACTCAGCAAGCCACACTTCTTCGAGGCTTATCTCTGACTTAGCTTACGCATGACATAGTGGGTCATCTCCACAGGGATTTAACATAACACCTTGAATTTGGTTAAATCACACAAAACGTCCGTGTTGTGATATCAAATGTATCATTCATCTAACCACGACATTGCTCTGTGGCGTGATCTGTCAAATCTGATGTCCAGAGCTTGATGCTTTGCGTTTTATGTGCCAAGTATTCTGTCTGTGTTTGTCAAGTAAGCACTGCAGTGTGAGCATTGTCTTTAGACCGTGATGAACAGGCTGTCTGTTATAAATGCAGCCTATGGGCTAGAGCTGAAAGGCAGGTACAACTTGTCCTCTTACTCTGTTTTTGCACATTTCTGCTAGGCTGCCTGTCCCCCTTTTCCTATGTTCTTTGTAACTTGTGCAGATCTGCACACACATTATTTTGTTCATTTTTGTCACTGCATGGTTGTCAGAACCACAGACCGTTCACAGGCTGGAATAGCTCCCGTTTACTTTCAAGGACATGTGGGTAGCTGCTGATGAGAGAGGTACGCAGCTGTTATTGACTGTGAACATTTTGATGCAGGAGAAGCCTTTGCAAAGTTGTTTTCTTGTATGTCAGTATTATATCAGGGGATGCTGAATATGGTTACAACGCATAATGGATTTAACTGTCTCCCAGAGAAAATGGATTAGACACTGGAGTAATGCCTGTTCTGTTTGCTAACATCTAGATCCACTTTTTTCTTTTTTCCTTGTGTTTTAATATTACACTTTTATACGTTTCTTTACTTTGGGTGCTGTAATTTTGGTAATCATTGCTTTTGCTACTAAATTTCCCTCAGGATCAATGAAATTATCCATCCATCCATCCTTCTAGTACTTGGGTCAAATCCTCTTACTGTCAGCCTTTCCACTCCTGTCACCACCTATCATCCCTGTAGCACCACAGTTGGGATATGTTGTTGCCGACATTGGTAGAGAGCTTTTGCTTCCTCCACTTGGTGGAAGTCATGATCTGGGAAGCAGGATCATGGAACAAGCATTCTCCATCTTGGGGGATAGAATGCTAGTGTGCAATGAATGAATGTTTGGTTGATGATCTAAGCAGAGATGAATTTCTTTCCTGATAACTAATCCAGTACCTAACCCCAGTGAATTGGCTTATTCAAACTCAGAACCGATATAAGTGCACACTTCTTTTTTCAGTTTAAAATCTATATGCTTCACTG